TCCTCTCTTTAAATCTCATTTCTGACAGTCCTTCTGTCCTGTCCTTTCCTATCATTAGGGTGTTATCCTTGAACACATTATCCTTTTTTAAGTCTTGTTGTTTATTCCATCGAGTCGAGCACAACTCATAGCGACCCTATGAACAAAAGGCCTGAAGCCTTTCTTTAATTACCGTCATTTTTCCAAGCTCATAGAGTTTTCAGAGGCATGTGGTTCAGGAAGTAGAATGTGGTTATAATTATTCTAAGGAGTGAGTGCCTCCCCAGTGTTAATGTCCAACTCATAGGCCTGCTTATTGCTTGGGTGAAAGTCAAACCAGGGAGATAATTTTGTTCCAGGTTTGGAAGGTGACTAAGGGCCATAGTTTCAAGGGTCTCATCAATCTTTGTCAGACCAGTAAGCCTGCTCTTTATTCTGGTTTTGAATTTTGTTTCATATTTCCCCCACTCTATCCAGGATCATCTACTGTGCTCTGTTTTTAATTAATGTTGGAATATATCAGTACCTCCTTACAAAAGTGAACTGTGAAATAGAGATAGGAGAGTATAGTATCAGTCAGTGGTAATAATAACTAATGTATTAATATTGTTCTAATATTGTTCTCAGTATAGATCCAGGACAGTAAGTGGCACTAAATATTGCAGAAGGGACCTCTGGTGGCTTGATGTTGAGGAGTTGCACTGCCAACCCAAGACTCATGGTTTCAGTCTATCAGGGGAGAAAAATGGGCAATCTGCAGTTGACAGCCTCTGACAACCCATTGGAGCATCAGCTAGGAGTCAATTCCAACGCAACAGCCCATATAAACACAACAAGAAGCATCACATTATTGCATTTAATATTAAAAAACATAAACCTGGGACTACAGCAGTAGTTTTATCTCTCCAGAATACATGTGTTTAAACAGGGGCACAGACGGGTAAAATAACTGGCCCAAAAAGTCGCCCTGGTCATAATTTATAGAGTGAAATTTAACCAGACGTTATCACACCAGGAACGTCTTCTCAGCCCCCGTGTTTTCCTGACTCCCAGCAATGGGTTTTTCATCTTCAGTTACATTTTGCTGTGGACCTATATGTACTATACTGTTTGGTGCCCAAGAGGCAGGATAAATATACTGCATATATTATAATTTCAAATTTATTACTTTTTGAGTAAAAATGACTTTGTGTGCAGGTGAGTGCTGGTTTCAGGTTAGACTGTGGTGGCTCACCTACATATCAGCCTGCAAACCACCTCAGCCTGTGTCTGATGTCCTCAGACCTCGCCCTCTTTCTTCCTACCACACTGCTCCCAGGAAAGTGAACCAACTGTAGGAGAGGCTTTAAACTCCAGGGCCTTTATTACTTCCATTTTCTAATACAGGAGGACCTTTCTGTCAGGTTCTGGTGGTAGAACCTGCATCAGAATCCCTTCAGAGGCTGGTTCAGTGCAGATGCCAGGGCCTCAAGGTGGCTAAATCAGAAGCTCTGGAGCAGTGTGGCCCAGTAATCTACACGCTGATCCCACTTCCCAGAATCTTTTGACAAGCTTTAGTGCTCTGAGTGTGACAGAAAGCCTCAAAGTCATAGAAAACCATTCTCAGGTGTTGTCCCCACACCTGCAGGATTAATAACTCAGTTTCTTGCTATGAAGCCAAAACCAATCCTAGCTGCCCCTCCTCTGGGTCTGTGAGGCTGTAAATCTCATGGGAGGAGATCACAGTTCCTTTGCCTGAGGAGTCGCTGGTTGATTCAAACCACCAGACTTTAGGCTTAGCAGCACAACTCCCTATAAACAAGGCCACCAGAGCTCCCTGCAGGATCCATATCACCTGGGAAGCTGTTTGAAGTGTCTGTTTTCTGGCCCTGCCTGACAGTCACTGAATTAGAAGCATGGGGAGATGGAGTCCTTCCGTCTGCACCTTCCCAAGCTCTCCTGGAGATTCCAATGCAGCTGAAGTCTGAGAAACACTGGCAAAGATTTCAGAGACTGAATGAAAGAGAAATGACCCCTTTAGAGAGTACAGTTATAAAAAAGTAAAAGACAATATAGCTGTGGCAATTAGCATATAGGAACAAGAGATGGAGGGAGACAGGAAGGGAGAGAGAGAAAACTATTTAACTATTTAAAAAGGGAAGGGAGGGAAGGTAAGAAGAAGGGAGAGGAAATCTCTAGGACAATCGAGATAAGTTGAGGATGGGGGATGAAGGTATATGTGAGGTGCAAAGGGGCTTGAGGAGATGAGGAGTCAAAGGTAATAAATCAGTAGTAGTCAATTACATAAAACACAAAGTACAGAAATTATTCAGTAAGACAAAATGGATATAAATGAAAGGATGTATGTGAATGATTGTATAAAAGTGAGTGGTGGTATAAATAAATTATAAAAAATTAAAAATAAAGAGTAAGAATGGATAATTATAATTGGGATAGTCCTCTTACATATATATAGATTTTGAAAGTACCATGATGTCCTGTTGTGGTTATTGGGTGCTAGAACCTTTCACAGGGTTTTCTAAGCTGGGATCTTAATGGAATCAGACTATGCATGGTGGGTTTATACTGACTATCTTTCAACTAGCAGCCAAATGCTTAACCGTTGCACCACCTTCCATTCTGCCATTCTGCTTATTAAACTATGCTGTAAAGACTTGCACCTTACAGGGACCTGAGACATTGGAAGATACGACTAGTGACAAACCCGGAGCTTACCTCATAATTTATTTGAAATGTTAGATCAAGATGTTTTTCCTTCTGCAACTGAAGAGGGTTGAATTTCTGCCATTTAGTTTGGGGTTTGTGTTGTCAAAGCAATGTTGCTACTCAAGTTTCAAAAAGACAGTGGAAAATCATTTCATATTCCTCAGTGAGATCTCAGTCAACGTCTTCTATAATCCAAGAGTTTTGTTAGGACTTGGGGACTTGAGTGATCCAGAATTTCCAAGGATGCTTGATGCAATGGAGGTCAGTAACAAGATGATTCTGCACCACCTCCTCCAGCCATGACAGCCAGCTCTCCCAGCCTCAGGCCTGCCTGAACCCTGACGTGAGACTGGGGCTGCTGCTTCAGCCCCTCAGCCTCAGTGCCGTCCTCTGATCTTTTGTACTTTCTCTCTAGACAGCTTTGAATTTTTGCCATGTTGGTTTCTGCCCCTTTTTAAGTTTCAGGGCTGTGTTGCTTTTTTAGGCATATTGTATTTTAGGTGCATTTAACCATGCAGAAATCAAACCCAGTTGGTTCAGCATTTCTTTTTTTAGTGATGAAGGTCTCCCTGGATTTCAGCATCTGGAAATAATTTGGCTTATTGAATAGGCTGTTACTTATATATCTGTACTAGCTACGTTTTTGAGCACTTATTTTGTGCCAAACACTCTAGTAAGCATAGCATGTGCATTAGCTCATTTAATCCTCTAAGTCATATGAGGAGGTAGGTACTGCTGTTGTTGCCATTGTACAGGCAGAGAAACCAAGAAACAGAGAGGTTATGTTATGTACACGAGGCCACACACCTTAAAAGTGGCAGGATTTAGTCACAAAATAGATTCATAAAATTTTCTAAAAGACAAGAGGGATGTTATGTGGGGGGGGGGTGGGTGTGCGCGCGTGCACACACGCACACACCCTCTCACGGTTGGATATAAGGTTCATTTTAGCCTTGTTTTAGGGACATAATATGCTTCTGTGTTTCCATTTTTTAAAGCCATTGTCATTGAGTTGATTCCAATTAATGATAACCACATGTATTATAGACTGTAACTGCTCCATAGGGCTTCTTGGTTACAATCATTGCAGAAGGAGATGGTCAACATTTTGATCCAAAGCACTGCTTGGTGGTTTTAAACCATCGAACTTTCAGCTATTGTTATTGCTGTTGTTAAGAGCTTCAAGTCAACTACAACTCATCGTAACCGTGTAACACATGGAAACCTTGTCCTAGCCGGTGCCATACTTGTTATCTCAGCCATACTCAAGCCCATCATTGCTGTCATCGTGTGAGGGTCTTCCTGTTCTTCCTCTGACTCTGCTTTTCCCAGTAACAGACAGACGCCTCTTGACAACATGCCCTAAATACGTGAAAGAAATGTTCACCATCCTTGTCTCTAAGGAGCGCCCTGGTGGCACCTCCTCCGGGACAGACTTGTTTGTTCTTTTGCTGGCCTGTGGGATACTCAATACACTTCACCAACAGCACATTCAAAGTCATCAGTTCTTCTTCAGTCCTCCTATTCATTGTGGCACTTTTTTTTCTTTCTTAACTGCTGCTATCAAGAGTGATGATTATGTATCCAAGTAAAGTGAAATTATTGGCAGCTTTAGTCTTTTATCCATCTATCGTGATGTCACGTTTTGGTCCATTGATGAGGATTTTTGTTTTCTTGATCCTGAGGTGTTCTCTGTATTGAAGACAGTAGTCTTTGATTTTCTGGTAGTGGGGGTGGGTGCCATCGAGTCAAGCATGACCTCTAGAGACCCTGTAAACAAAAGATCTGGACCCTGTTCTATCCTGCGCCATCCTCATACTTCCTGACACACAAGAGCCCATTGCAGCAGTCACTGTGTCAATCCACCTGGTTGAGGGTCTTCCTTTTCTTCCACCTTTCACAACATCATGTTGCTTTCCAGGAATCAGTCCCTCACAGCATCATGTCAACAGTATGTGAGGCAAAGCCTCATCATTCTTGATTTTCTTTAGCAAGTGCTTTAAGCCTTTGTTGCTGTCTAGATTATTAATCAAGCTCAAACTATTTGTGCCAGTGTATATATATATGTAGCTTTGTTTAAAATTGTCACATGTAATACTGTGTCTCTAGTCTCTATAAGGGTATAAGCAGCTTAACACAGTTCGACAAAGGGATGTGACTTTTTGATGGAGTGAAAATATCTCAGCATTAAACTGGGCTCTCCACATTTGGAGTTCCAAGGCACACTGCCCAGCTGTGGGCATCCATGTGCCAGAGCATCAGCAGCCCTGCTATCCCTACACAATGCCATTCACTCTTTCCTTTGTTTCTTGCAGGCATCTTTCCCAGCAAACCTCCAGCTTGTCCTTGTTCTGCGCCCAACAGGATTTTTCCAACGAACTCTATCCGACATCGCTTTCAAATTCAATAGGGATGACTTTAAAATGAAGGTACCAGTAAGTATGCCCTTACTTTCTTTCTGTCAGCAAAGCTATACATAAATTAATTCTTGCCCCATCTATGAGAATTGATATCCGTAAGGGGTCCAGCATCAATACTGTGACCATAAATAAAGGCCAAATGACTGATAATCAGGAGATGTATTTCCTCTCAGTGCTGTCATTTGGGACTTGACTCTGTGATCACAGTACTGATGTCCCCTTCTTTTATTCACTCATCATTGTCTGCCTGTTTCTCCTCCTTCCTCCAAAAGATCCCGTATTGTACAAAAAGATGACCCTTAGAGAAACCCATTACCAATTCTGAGTCATTTCTGACTATGGAAATCCTACAGAGCAGCGTAGAACTGCCCTTCAAGATTTCCAAGGCTGGAAATCTGTATGGAAGCAGCTGACTGGCACATCTTTCTCCCATGGAGTTCTCAAAATAACAGGCTTTTTTATCTGACAACCAAATTATTTTTTATTTTTTATCTGGCAACCAAATTATTTCATTACTGTGGCACCGGAGATCTTCCTCATTTCCATGTCAAAGCTCACTCGTACTTGACCCTCCATTGGGTTTCCAAAGCCCTGTATCACGTTTTTCATCTTTCTCCCATAGAGGGCCTGGTGGATTTGAACTGCCAGAGAGGCACAGTCTTCAGTTTAGAAGCGCAGCTTTTTACAGACTATGCCACAGGAGCTGACTGTGGCCTTGGATAGACCACTGTAAAAACTTAATACATTTATCAGGTAACCATGAATCAAAGGACATTCTTGAAATTGGTAACACTGGGGAACAAAGAGATTTTTACTGAGTAGTTTTAACCACCTAATGTTTAAGAATCTTTCTAATGCTCTGTGGCTGCCCCAGGAGAATAAGAGAGGACCTAGAGATTCCCAAGCTATGGATGTTTCTGAGTATCCAGGTGGTTATGGGTGGTAGTTAGACCTTGAAGAGTCTAGCAGGGTGATCCCTACCTCATGTCTCATTACGCCAACCACACACAGAGTAAACTCTCCTTTCAACACTGTCTATATTGAAAAGCTCTAGTGGCTTAGTGGTAGTGAGTTGGGCTGTTACTCCAAAGACATGCAGTGTGAATCCATCAGCTACTCCATAGGAGAAAGATGAGCAGTCTTCTCCTATGTGATTTACTGCCTCAGAAAACCCATTGGAGGGTCAGCAAAGAATCGGTTCCAACTCAATAGTACATAACAACCACAAATTAAAAAAAAACACTTTCGTTGTCTTTGGTAAAAAAGGAAGGACTGTATAAAAACTTTAAAAATCTGATAAATTAGGGAAATGTTCCTATATTGCTTCATTTTGTTGCTCACTGCTGTTCATTCAGGTGGCTCATGATGACCCCGTGACTAGCAGCCCAGATTATGCCACTCACTCTTGTGAACAGCCTTGAGGATGGTTGCCCATTAACCTTGATTAACTTACTTCTTCTTTATTATCAAGAGAACAACACATAGGCAATTGTCTAACAATACAAACTAAATTCCTTTGGAAATGTAATAATCTAAACTGAAGATCACTTTCTGTGACGTGCTTAGCTGATCATCAGAACACAAGTTTACGGGCCTTGATCACCCCTCTTCTCCCTCTGTTACTCATCCTCTACTCAGAAAAAGCAGGAATACTTCTGTTTGGAAGGAGTTAGGGTTGGGCTTGGGACCTTCTCTTCATCCTATCTTGACCTTCATCAGGTCTCTCACTGGACACCTGTACAAAATCCTGCTACATTCTTCCACCTCATTTATAACATTCCTTAGGGGTTTGATAGTCTTTGAGAATCACCCCTACAACACACACCAGTGTCTGCACTACCAAAAACAATACTAATCAAAGAAGCAAGTATGTCCTACAAAACGTCAGGTCAGATTTTTTGGTGAAAATGCTATTGCTTGCGGTGCTACATCTCTCTCTGGAAACCATAGAGCCACATGCTTTGAGGAGTTTATGAAAACTCAGTGTTCCTGTCCTATTTTGTAGCATGAAAGAAGCCTCCATTTCCCAACAGCCCATTTTGTGGTTATGATTAATGAAAAAATCATGGAGAACTGTAAGATTCACATAGTTGAAAGTGACTGTTCATGACACTAAAACAAAATAAGCATTGTATATGAGACCTTGTGCCAATACTAATCCTTCCAGTCCACAGACACCTCCTGAGAAAACCTACATATTTTATGATGTTATCATAGATGGGATATTCGTTTATCTAATCTCATCTTCATAGCTTTCAAATAAGCCACATTAATAAGATTTCTTTACCATAGATGTGCCCTAGGGAAAAAAAGACTGGGGAAATCTCTTAGAAATCCTGTGCAGTCCTTTGCAGAACTCTGCTCTTTCATATTAAAAGTTGTCGAAAACAGGTTGCAAAAAATAAAATTAGCATTAGCATTTTCAAGTGCACTGGCCCGTTTTTAGAGTAAAGCAATCATCTGAAGAATGCTGCTGTTAAAACTATCCGTATCAACACTTAAGGGCATACTATTGAACCCAGCACTGAAAGAAAATTGCAAACAAAATACATTTTGTTGGGTTGGGGTTTTTTGCTATTATCATTAAAAACATAGCAACAACATTAAAAACATGCTGTGTATAGGCAGGTTGTTGAGTGGCATACAGAAATTATAAGGAACTGTTATTTAAATGGTGGTTGTTGTTGTTGTTGTTGTTCTTGTTGTTATGTGCCGTCGAGTCGTCGAGTCGTTTGCAACTCATAGCGACCCTATGCACAACAGCCCTAAACCCTGCTCTATCCTGCTCCAACCGCACTGCCTCTGACACACCCATCCCGATTACCCCAGTCACCGAATCAATCCATCTCATAGAGGGTCTTCCCCTCCTGCGCCGTCCCTCCACCCTCCCAAGCATGATGTCCCTCTCCAAGGACCCGTCCCTCCTGGCAATATGTCCAAAGTATGTCAGACGAAGCCCCAGAATCCTTGCCTCCAAGGAGTAGCTTGGTTTAATCCTCTCCAAGATGAATCTGTTTTACTGGCAGTCCATGGTACATTCAGTACTCTTCTCCAGCACCACAGCTCAAAGGCATCAACTCTCCTTCTGTCCTCCCTAATCATTATCCAACTCTCTGATGCATAACAAGTGATTGCAAAGACCATGACCTGTATCAGGTGCACCTTAGTCTCCAGAGAGACACCGTTGCTCCTGAGTACTTTAGAGAGGTCCCTAACAGCAGACTTTCCCATCGCGATACGCTTTTTGATTTCCTGATTGCTGGTGCCAAGAGTGTTGACTGTGGAGCCGAGCAAACTGAAGCTGTGAACAATCTCAATCTTTTCACCATCCATCCTGACGCTGCCAATTGGTCCAGTGGTGAGAATCTTTGTCTTCTTGACATTGAGCCTCAGCCCATACTGAAGGCTGCAGTCCTTGACCCTCCACAGCAAGTGCATGAGGTTCTCCTCAGTTTCAGCAAGCAGGGTTGTGTCATCTGCATAACGCAGATTGTTAATAGATCTTCCACCAATCCTGATGCCACAATTCTCCTCCTAGAGCCCAGCCTCCCGGATAATCTGCTCCACATACATGTTGAAAAGGTATGGAGACAGGATGTATCCCTGGCGTACACCCTTCCAAATTTTGAACCATGCAGGGTTACCCTGCTCTGTTCTGACTACTGCCTCTTGGTCCAAGTATTAGATGATCCAATTATTCAATCCTTAATTGTACTGATTATAAATGAGGTTTGTCTTGCAGAGTTTAAACAATTGTAGTGGAGGACCAAGGAGAGCATTTTATCCTCTTCTGTTGAGATCCCTCTTTCTAAAGTATAAAACTCATCCTGCTTTTAAAATTCAGGTTTCTCAACCTCAGCACTCTGGGCATTTTGGTTTGCTATTTCTTAGTGGTGGGAGATGTCCTGTCTGTGCATTGTGGGACATTTCACAGTAAATTTAGTGACTTCTACCCACTAGATGCCAGTAGCACCCAGCCACCTTCCAGCTGTGACAAGGAAAACTGTTTCCAAACAATGGCAAATGCCCCTTGGGGTGCCAGTATCTCTGGTTGAAAACAATGACTTTAAACTAATACAGTAATAATACACTGAGTGCTAAGCCTATGAAGACTTCTTTTCCCCCCCTATAATATTTGCCTAACAGCTTATAAAGCAAAGATTGTGGTTTTAATAAAAATTCAAGGACACAGTGACCTCAAAGAGGCTAAGAGGCTTATAGAAAAAAAAAAAGACATCTGTGTGGAAGAAACACTTGCTCAGATATAAACAGTTTGGTGTTTCACCTGAAAGGCAAGCTTCTGTGAATTCTCTCTTTCTATTCTTATACATTATCCTGATTGTACTGTCCATACTCTGATTGGAACCTCTAATGACTCTACTATTTTCAGCAGGAATAAGGAAAAAGACCACTCTCTTTCAGATTAGAATACTATTAGATTAACATGCCAAGATCCCCCTTCAGAAGACATGTCCTGAAAAGAACAAACTGTGTTGCCATCAAGTCACTTCTGACTCACTCTATAGGGAGGAGGAGAACTTCCCAAGGCTATAACCCTTAGCCAACTGCCATATCTAGCTCCCAAAAAGACTAGTGGCTTTGAACTGCTGACCTTCGTGTTATCAGTCAATTGCTTTAACCACTGTGCTATCATAGCTCCTTATGGGATGTATATGATTGTTGTTGTTGTTGTTGTTGTTGTTGTTTGCCGTTGAGTTGGAACCGACCCATAAGTGACCCTCCAGGTTTTCAAAGATCATGTAGGAGGAGATAGCCCAGCCTTCTCTAGAATAGCTGGTAGATTCAAACTGCATGCTGCAATTCCTTACCATTAGGGCCCCAGAGCTCCTTTACATAGTGGTTCTTAACCCCGTGATTGAGAAGCTTCACTGCCAACCCAAAGGCATAGTTCAAATACATCAGCTGTTACATGTGAGAAAGATGGGTAATCTCCTCCCTTGTGATTTATAGTCTCTAGAACCTTGCTGGAGGGTCAGCTGAGTCTATTCCAACTCAACAGCAGTGAATTGTTTGTATATAGACATCTGTTAAATATTCTTTATCTATCAGGCACTCTATGAGTTCAAGGACTGCCTTTTGATCTTCATCTCAGTGTGATTAGAAAATATGCCATTTCACAAATAAAGACATTGAGGTAGAGAGAGAATAAGTGACATGCTGAAAAGTCAGCTAATCAGTGGTTGGGCTGGGGGTTAAACTCATGTCTATTCAAGTCCAAAGCCAGATGCTGTCGACGCAGTCAGCCACATTTTGCATCCAACAGGGAAAATATTTTCTCTTAGTCTGTTGGCCCAACCCCATGAATGCTCTGTTCATGGGTGATGTCTCTGTTTCTTTAGATCATAATGCTGAGTTCAGTACCAGAATTACATGGTTACATTGATAAATCACAGCTAACCGAGGATCTTGGCGGAACCCTGGATTATTGCCACACCAGGTGGCTGTGTCACCGCACGGTGAGTTGTTTGGGTGTTTTGAGAGTTTTTCTGAGGGGAAGGGCTTGGTAACGGTGGGCTGTGAATTGGCACTCCAGTTAATTCTTAGTTAATCAGAAGGAATCAGTCTCACATTACAATGCAGTTCTTCCAAAACATGTTCATACTAACAAAAGTGCTCTTCCCCAAGAATGAGGCGATGGTCTCAGTGGACCTTCGTCATCTTAAAGAAATAGCATGAGTAATAAGTTCGGGAGTGGCTCTCTCTGGGCTTGGAGACAAGGGGAGGAAAAAAAGACCAAAACCTGTGTTATTGTGGCTTACATGCTCTCATTTAACACACACACACACACACACACACAGAGAGAAACTTCAATCCAGAATGACTCCAGGTTGTGCCAATAGATTTAAAGTGTGCCTGATGTGTTTCTGAGGAAAGCATGAGGTCCGGAAACTAATGGTGAAGGTATTTGTTTGTCAGCATAATACCAGACATGTTTGCTTTGCAAGCCTGCCTGCCTTCTGAGCACCGCTCACGCCTGGTCTGGGGACGGGGGAGCAGTGACAGTGTGGGTGTCTGTTTTCAGAGCAGCAGGAGGTTTCAGTATGTGCACAGCTTTCTGATTGTGTTCTCCTTCTCCCAAAGGCTATCGAAAATTTCGCCCTCATGGTTAAACAGACAGCTCAGATGCTTCAGTCCTTTGGGACCGAATTGGCCGAGACAGAATTGCCCAATGACGTGCAGTCCACAAGCTCTGTGCTCTCTGTACACACAGAGAAGAAGGACAAGATGAAGGTACGTGTGGCTGCTGGGAGGGAGGCGCCTCTGCAGTTAGAGAATGTGGGTCTTCCGTCCTCTCTGAGACATGTTGGGCATCAGCAAAAGAATTGTTGTTGAGATCAGATCTGTCTGAGCATTTAAGCCTGTTTCCAAGAAGCCTTTCGGTGCTAATGAGCTGGGTAACCGCTGAGAATTATGATGTGCTACTTTTTCAAAACACACACAGTGTAAATGACTCCTAGAAATTGTACTCTGCGATGCATATTCATGTGTTGGCATCAAAGGTATCATTAGTAAATTTCCTGTGTCCTTGAGTGATTTATAGAGTCTATTTAAAGTAAGGCATGAAAGGCAGCCTTTCTCTAAAGGAGCTATTCCAGCTGTCTGGTCCTCGGGATGTTTCTGTTGCTTCTCAGTAGAATACAGACAGGCTTTTCACCCCTGGATACTCCTAAGACAAGCAGACAATAATGTGGTAGAGAAACACCGAAGAGCTGAAGTTCTTGTGCATCAAATATTGACTTACATTTTTACCATCTTTCTAGAATAAGTATTGTTGTTGGGTGCCGTTGAGTGAGTCCAACTTATGAACATCAGATCTGAGCCTTGCCTTATCCTGGCCCGCCCTCATGGTCTCTGATATGCTCAAGCCCATTGTTACAGTAGCTGCGTCAGTCCATCTTGTTGAGGCCCTCCCTCTTTCTTTAATCCTCCACCTTCTCCAGCATGGTCTTTCCATCCAAGGGCGGATCTCTTCTGACAACAGAGGAAGAGCTTTGGTGGCCTAATGGGTAACGAGTTATACTGTCAACCCTAAGGTGGCGAGGCAGTTCAAACCCACCAGCAGCTCTACTGGAGAAAGATGAGAATCTTCTCCTGTACATTTTTTAGCTTCTGAAACCCTCTGGAGGGTCAGCTATGAGTTGCTTCCGCCTCGGTGGCAATGAGTTAAGGACACATATGGATGGAGACAAATAAGACCCCTAAAAGCATCATATGTCTTCCTACAACCACATGTTGTCTGCTCTGAAACCAGTGTTGTCAGGGCCCACTAACGTGGCCCTGTGTCTGGGCTCTACCAGGTAAGCTGTGTGCTCCCCTTAAACCGCTTCTTTCTCTCCAGTCAAGAGTAGTGGCTGCAGAAGCAGACATGTGGAAGGTCTCGTTTCTTGTTACTTTTACCCCTGTGTGACCCGTAACCCTATCTCTGCCACTGGTAGCAAGCAGGAGTAAGCCTCCTCCATCACCTTCCCTCCCACGCAGAAGGCTTTGCAGCAGCACAGAGCCCTCATCTAAATATTGGCTTGACATCCTGGGGTCAGTTTTGTGTCTTTTATCACCTTACTTGCTTGCTGTGAAATACCTGACAGAGTCTGTCTGTTCACTCTGAACTACACATGAGCTTCTGGCACCTGGCGGCTGCCCTGTGATGTCACATACCCTGCATTCTTTCTGCAGGAAGACATGAAGTCAGCACTGCAAGAGGGACACACCATCCTCGAGAGCATCAGGGAGCCGCTGGCCAAGGACCCAGAGTACAGCCTGAATCAGGACCAGCTTGACAATCAGACCACGGTGCAGAGGTGAGCATCCCGGGTCTCACTCTCGAGGCAGCTTTGCTTCTGTTCAAGGCGTGGGGAGTGTTTTCAGGCAGCAGCCTCAGGAAATAAGAAACCAGAAGCTGAGGCAACTGGAGATGGAAAGAAAAGCAACACAGCAGGGAAGCAGACACCCTGTGCCTAATCTGGGCTCTGGTGGTGTCGTTCGGAGCTGGGGAGGGTCCTGTTGGCTCTCCATGCCTCAGTTTCCTCACTTAATAATGAACCAAGAGAATCTTAGATTCTTTACTGTAGGGTTCCAGGTACTATGGAATGTTGAAATGTTTTTCTCCAAAGTCCCAAACAAAGTTTGGTAAAAAGATTTCAAAGAACAAACCCTGTTTTTAAAAAACACTTTTTAAAAAAAAGCATGTGTGTGTACCAGAGAGTCAAAATGACCCATAGCTGACTCTCCAGCACGTTTTCAGAGGCAATTGATTGCACGGGAGGAGATTGCCCATCCTTCTCCCACAGAGCTGCTGGTGGATTCAAACTTCGTGCCTTCTGGATTGCAGCACAGCTTTTACCCCAAGGCCACCAGAGCTCCCTTTCTGAAAAACATAGACATTAAAAATTAACAAGCTCAGCTGAACACTGCCAGCAACCCGGCAGTTTACTAAGAGTCTACATTAGTGTGATCCAGTGCATCGGGATATAGAAAGGAGAAAGTAACTGGTGATCTAGTTTCCTCCAGTATTCTGTCTAAAATGCCTCTCCCTCACACGTGAATTGACTCCATCAAGATAATCTTTACAAAACTCTGTGACCCAGTGCATGGAGCTAATGCTCTGTATGAGTGTGTTGGAGGATCTGAGCTACAAATTGTATGAGCATCATGCTTCTTGGTGGACCCGGTGATTTTTTTGCTGCAGTCCCTCACATTAAGCCTGACATCTCTGAGTGAGTCATAACCACAAATGTGTCCTCTTTTCCTTCAGGCTCCTGGCCCAGCTGAATGAAACTGAGGCTGCCTTTGATGAGTTTTGGGCAAAACATCAACAAAAACTCGAGCAGTGTCTACAGCTCCGGCATTTTGAGCAGAATTTTCGAGAGGTGAGTGGACCTGATTATTGAGAGAACTCTTAGCTGACCCCCTGTGTGTTCCGGCTGCAAGAGGTAAACAGGTTGCCCAGTGTGCTATGTCGTTATTCTGTCAGCTGCTATTAGCACAGATTTCTTTCTCAGTTCACTTTTTGTATGGTGTAGAAGAGTCTTTATTAGCCACAGTGAACCTGCAAGATTAAATAGGGTAAACCTGGAAACATGTGATTTATATATAAGCTAACTCATCCATTGCCATTCAGTTGGAACCAACTCATAGCTGACCCTTCAGCAGGTTTTCAAAGGCTATAAATCAGGAGGAGATGGCCCATCATTCTCTTGCAAAACAGCTGGTGGATTCAAACCGCCTGTTTATGGGTTGACAGCACAACTCCTAACCCAATAGGCTACCAGCTCTGTATTATATCTATAAAGGGTTACTGAAAATGTATTATTTGGTATATACTTAGTTGTATATAACTGGTGAGATAATAATGGAGACTGTGTTATCACTTTATAATAACAACAACAAATAATAACTTTATAATAAACAAGAAGAGCATAGAGAGAGATCAGTTGGCCTAGTGGACAGAAAGCCATGCTCCCAAGCCAAGGTGGGTGACTCAACTCCATGGCTCTCAGGCCTTTCTTTAATTGTTTTTGGTGAAACATTCTTCTAGGTCATATAGCCCTGGTCTGTCCACTTGCTGTACAGAGGTAACTCATGGTTGCTGTGAAACTGAACACTGTGACACTGATGAGTCAAATGGGAGAATGGTTACACATGGTGGACAGTGTTTGGTGGAGCTCCCCAATTAAAACAAGCTTGGAAACAAGAGTGGCATCCACTTGCCTCCGGAAACCCTATGAACCTGGAGAAAGGACGAAAATTATATAGGTGTCCAGGTCTTTCGTTCATAGGGTCGCTATGAGTCGCCTACAACTCAATGGCACTTAGCAGCAACAACATACTTAGTTGTGTATAATTGGTGAGATAATAATGAAGCCTGTGGTCTCACTTTATAATAATTTTTGTGTGCTTGCTTTTTCAATTCAGGATATATTTGATTAGGGTGCTGTTATGTGCCAGAAACTGGGTGCTGGGTGTACAAAAATACAGTATATTGTCTTGCCTTGAGTCCAGTATGATTTGGGTTATAGTAATAACTGAGATGAAAAGTCAAGTGGAAAGGCTCAATAGCAGATTGGAGGAAGAAAAAGGAAAGAATCCATAAAGTAGATGACAGAGCAATAAAAATTGCCCAATAGAAATGGGCCAGCCGAGAGACAGTCGACTGGGAAGAAGAGGGGGCTTGTGAGGCTAACAAAGGATCTGGCATTTGATTCATGACAGTTGTAGAAGGAGGAAAAAAAGAGGGTGAGACTGAAAAAAGAGTGGTTGAAAACATCCCAAGTTTAACAAGAGGTATACGCTTACCAAGATGGAAACAAATGTCACGTGTCAGGAAGATAAAATCATTTTCTTGTTCTTATATTTGCGAGGTCTTTTAGACAACATTTTTATTCATCGCATTATTCATGCCATTTATTCCTGAGCAAAGTGAATCTTGTGAATGAATTGTGACATGATGGAAAAGCAAGGCCTCATTTAACTACAGATTTTATTATCATTTTCTAACTACAGATTTTATTATCATTTTCATATTCTGCCCCCCTTCAAATAACAGTGAAATGAATCCATGAGCAAAATAAGTTTATGCTAAGCTGTGACCTTTAAATTTAGACAGCTGAATGTTTAGACTCTGTGAGCATTAGAAGAAATCTTGGACGGGAGGAGTCTTTGGAATGAAATACATACAATCTCATCAGAACTTCTTCCCTGGAACCAAAGATATTCAATAGCAGAGGATAAAGGCCTCCCTGTCACACACTCAACTTCACTGGTCTGTGTCCAGATGGAAATATCCCAGGAGAAAAATCTCTGGAAATTAGAGTTGAGTGAAGACTCTTAGTGCATCCCAGTGGCATGAGTTTCATTTATAAGGACCCAAGGAGGAGATGCATGTGGTTCAGATGACACACAAGGCATTCCCCAAGTAACTTCTCCCAACCTCTCCAGTAAGTCTAATTGAACGTTCTCCAACTGGTTGTCCTTACACCTGAGAGGAATGTGGTCCCAGCATTTTCACTTTCCTGTCCATCTCACAGGTCATTCCTCTGTGACTGAAATCATTGCCATGCCCCCTCAGGGGAAGATTGTCACCCTGTCTCTGGTAGACTAATCTTGGGGAGCTTGGGCCAATAGGGTGTCTTGGCCCCGGGAATGCTTTTCAACACTGCTCCACTCATTTGTGCTGCATGGTTTGGCAGACCTCAGACAAAATGAAAACAAAACTACAGTTACCAGTCATTCCTTAAGCATCTCTGTCCTGCATGTCTGCATGCAGGATACAAAGAGGACATGTAGTGCTATCCTCCTGGAGTGTCTGTTCTAAAGGAGGGGCTGGGCGGGGACTAGATTCCAAACAAGTCAACCCACATAAACACAAGAGCACTCCAAAGAAATAGAGTCATGAAGAGAATAAACAGAGTGTGAGGGAGATAAGAGACCGAGGTGGGTTTCCATGGTTGAGTTCCTCAGGAAGTCTTTTTTAAAAAGTGGCGATCAATTCAATGTAACTTACGTTACTGTGGGTTAAGGTGGGGTGGAATCAGTCCCCAAGTCTGTGTGCTGAGTCACCAGCAGAGGGCACCCTGCCCTCCAGGTGCTCTTGATCAGGTAGCCTGAACAATCTGAAGATCGAGGGTTTAGATCTGCTCCCCTTGGCGCTGCTGCCCTCTGCCAGCTTCTCTTTTCTGCAGATGGTGAGCACATGCCCACTCTTAGATTTCTAGTAACAAAAGTGATTATATTTGAAGAGATAAGCTATTGCATCTTCAAAAATCACTTCTATGAAACCCTTTATCTTCCAATGTTAGATACATCAAATATTAAGTTAATATTATTGATGTTGTAAAGGGTACAGAGTATGTCACTGCCTCAAAAAGTTAAATACAGTATTACCATATGGCCCACAATTCCACATATAGGTGTAGACATTCGAGGGAACTAAAAGCAGGGATGGAAATAGAAATGTTTGCATTGATGTTCATTGCAGCACTGTTCCCAATAGTCAGAAGGGGGAAGCAACTCAAATGGCTACCGGCTGACAAGTGAGTAGATGAAGCATGTTCTATTCATAAATAGGATATTATTTCCATAAGGAGAAGTCACATTCTGATAAATAGATGAACCCCCAAAACATCATCATTGTTGTTACATGCTGTCAAGTCAAAACCAACCCATAACTGACCCTCCAGGGGGTTTTCAGGGGCAGTAAATCACAGAGATGGAGATTATCCATCTTTCTCCCTCCTAGCAACTGGTGAATTCAAACTACCTGCCTTTAGGTTGGCAGTGCAACTCCTTACTACTAAGGCACGGAGCTCCCCTGGGAAACAATATGCTGAGTGATAGAGTCCATCACAAAAGAACAGATTCTATAGTATCCCTCATATAGGAAATATCCATAATAGGCAAATGCAGAGAGAGATCAAAGTTACCACTGAAGTGGTGACCAGGGATGGGAGGGGTGGCGGGAAAAGACTGGACGTTGTTTAAGGGGCACTGTGTTTCTATTGGGCGGATGAAAAAAATCAGTAACAGATAGTGGTGATAGTCACACAACACAACCATCATTAATACGGCATAAATAATGTGTGAGTTACACATGTAAAGAGAGTTGAAATGTTATGTATAATCATCACAATTTAAAAAAAAATAACTTTTTGCAGATAAGTACTAAGCTGGAATGGCTTGAACTATGGAAAGCTCATGGCCCACACCAGAAATTCTAGTGAGAAAAAGAAGAAAAACAAAACCACTGTCAGGAGACCTGGTGGGAGGAACACAAGGCCGTCTCCTTCTGTAGATATTCACAGCCCTGGACCCTATGGGACAGCTCTGCTCTGTCCTGTGGTGTCGGGTCACTGTGAGTCAGAATCACTTCCAGTCAGTTGTGTTTTCTTTGGTTTGGCATCTCCTTATGTTCCTTATCACTGCTGCCTTTTGAGTTTCTTTGACTGGTATAGTCTCATTTTCTCCTCCCGGTACTTTTGGGTTTGTGCTGGGGTGGGTAATCTTCCCACTTTACAATTGATAAACTGAGACACAGAAACGTTAAGCGACCTTACTAGTTAAGTCAGGGAGCTCTGGTGGCTTGGTGGTAAGTTGATGCACTGCCAACCTGAAGGCAGGTGCCTCGAATCCACTCTGTAGGAGAAAGCTGGCCTCCCGTGTGATTTACAGTCTGAAAATCCACTGGAGGGTCAGCTCTGAGTCAGTGGCATACAACAACAACAGTTAAGTCAGAAGATGACCCAGCTCTGTCGCCAGGAGGTTTCTGGATGTTTAAACTGAGCATGACTTTCAGGAGTGGCTTTAAACAAGTGAACCAAAACCGCCTATCTGATTAGTGATAATTTTGACTCTTATCTTTGGAAGGGTTTGCCCTTATGACGTCTCTGTCTTAACCTGTGTTTCCCCCTTTCTGACTTCTCTCCTGGTATCGGTGGTAAGTTTCTATGCCATTGCTGCTGACTTCTCAGATGCTGTCTTCCTCACGTTTCCTGCCTCTGTTTCAGGTCAAAGCTGCCTTAGATGCTGTGTCTCAGAAGATTCTGGCCTTCACTGATGTCGGCAACAGCCTCGCACACGTGGAGCACCTCTTAAAGGACCTGGCGCACTTTGAAGAGAAGTCCAGTGTAAGGGCCAGAATGTCCCCACCAGAGGGTTATGGTTTCATGTGCTTATAGTAGGGAGAAGGGATTGAGAACACGAAGTGTTGCTTGGAAAGGCATAAAAATTTGGCTTCCATGTCATCGACAGTGAAGCTGCTACAGTTCCCCAGCACCCAAAGTGGTCATTGTACATGAGTGACATCCCCAGCTGGAGAGGCACATCCCATGGCCCCCATCTCCAACCAGACAGTCTGTACACATGTCCCTGCTGTTCATAGCAGTGATAGCGGGCAGCACCAGCTGAGTATAGTACCTCTCTTTGATTTGAATCATTTGGCATCCATTGATTCTTCCAAGAAGAAAACCCACTATCTTCCCTCTGGTTCAGTTTACTCAGAACGAGTGGTGACTTTGCCTGTCTCATCAAAACCTACAAAAGTGTTTGTCCCCAAAAAAGCTTCAGGGATTAAGTGGCTTCTCTTAACGTCCCCCCCTTCAGTGAGCAAAGAAAAAGGAGATACATCCTTATACTTCTGCTGCCAATATCCCATTTCAGTGCTGAATCTGTCCCTGAAAATAGCAACCCCGTTAGCATATAATGAAAGTAATCTATAAATCAATCTTAAGGGTATGTTTTTGGGGTTTTTCCCCTATAGGTATCTGTGGAAAAGGCCCGAGCCCTGTCCCTGGAGGGCAGTCAGCTTATAGAGAACAAGCACTATGCCGTGGACTCCATCCACCCCAAGTGCACCGAGCTCCAGCATCTCTGCGACCAGTTTGCCGCAGAAATTGAGAAGAGGAGAAACCTGCTCAACAAGTCGCTGGAGCTGCACGGCCTGTTAGAGACGGTAGGCTGGACCGGAAAGGGATCCTCTACTCTGCAGATGCGCACAGCTTCTTCACAGAGCTCATGTAGTAACCGCGGGATACTTTCCTCCTCAGACTGACAGCAGACTCATTCTCTGAAAAGTAACATCCCGCCTTCTCACTGTGATTCCCTTTGCTGTCGGACTAGAAAGCTGTACCCTGATACAATTTGCTATTTTCTAGATTTTCATTCTGACAGCTAACGATTAACAGAGCCAGAAACTTGCTCATCCTAGTTAATTACAGTGCACTCCCCTTTCTACTCTGTGTAAGTAGGTTTCTAGTCTCAGAAAAAGAAACCAGTTGCCATGGAGTCAGCCTCTACTCCTGGCCATCCCACATGCCTTAGAGGGTACAGGTGCTCAGTGGGGTTCTGAAGCGCTGGTTCTCCATAAGCATGTTGCCAGACTTTTCTTTTGAAGTGTGTCTGGGTGGATTTGAACCACCAGCCTTTGGTTAACAGCTGACTATGTTAACCACCTGGGACTTCTGATTCTCTTCACTCTTTAAGGGAGCTCTGGTAGCCTAGTGGCAAGAAGCTGTGCTGAAATCCCAAAGGCACAGAGTTCGAGTCCACCAGATGCTCCACAGGAGAAAAATGGGCATTCTCCTCTGGTGCAATTAACTACCTCTGAAGACCACTGAAGGGTCAGCTATGGGTTGGTTCTGACTTCACAGTACACAACAACAACAACAGAATATAGTTAGCCTTTTTGATTGCAGGGTTCCCTCCAGTGGAGTCCTTTGGATATAATGATAGAAGAATGAATGGTAGAGTTCTTATTTCTTAAATTATTCCAGGAAATGGCATATTGAGACAGCAAGATGGGGTGTTTCAAGCAAATCACACTTTACAATAAGATGAAACTGCTAACAAGGTGTTTTCTTTTGTTTCCCTTTGTTATGCTTTGCATTTCTAGTCCATGAAGTGGTGTGATGAGGGAATTTACCTGCTGGCTTCACAGCCTGTGGACAAATGCCAGTCCCAGGATGGTGCCGAGGCAGCCCTTCAGGAAATTGAGAAGTTTTTGGAGACTGGTGCAGAAAATAAAATCCAGGAACTAAGTAAAATCTATAAGGAATATGAATCTATCCTCAACCAAGACCTAATGGTAATGACACTTATGCTTTGTTGCAAATTGTTTGTCATGTTGTTGTTGTTGTTTTTGGCTCTGGGTGGACTTGGGAGCCAGTCCCTGTCGCATAGTGCCCCAGGCACAACAGATTGGAAGCACCCACCCAGCCTGTGCCAATTCCACAGTGTATTGCGGATTGCCCCGTTGTGATCCGGGGGTGGTCTGCATTCATTTCCAGAAGAAAATCTCATCAGGCCTTTCATCATATGTGTTAGAAGCTCTGCTCTAATGTGTCCAGCATCACAGCAACTCAAAGATCTGCAGAAACAAGTGGGTGGGGCTATTATGAATGGTGGGAATTTACTTTTCACAACATTCAAGAGTTGTCAAATTGCATTTTAATAATGAACACCTGAGAGAAGCATAGCTATGATGGTCATCTGGCTCCCCTTGCCTTTCCTTCAGTAGCATTTCCATGCCACCCTCAAAAGGTGACCCTCTGAACTCCTGCTTGAGCACATCCTGATGAGACCTGTTCTTCATCAGCAGTTCTCCATTTCCACCAAAATGCACTTCTTCCAGAGATCTTGTTATTGAACTGAAACCTGTCACATAACTAGTTGTCTTTGTTTTACCCTCTGGAGTAAGCCAGAAGGATTTTCTCCCATCTTCTCAAAGACCTGCACTTGAGATACTTGAAGATGACCCACTATATGCCTCCCACCCAATTGTCTCTTCTCTAGATGACCCATCCCCAATCCTTAAAAGGGTAATAGGCCCCTCACCACATGTGAACCAGATACAGACCTGCCACACTGTCAGTGGACACTGTGACAAAAATCATGAGATCCAGCCTGAGGAAATTCTGTGTGTAATTATTATATAACTACCAACATCAGCATTACTGGATGTCTTACCAACCAGCACATCAGGCAATATTCTGTCATTTCAGGACCATGTGCAGAAGGTCTTCCAGAAACAAGAGAGCATGGAAGAGATGTTTCACAGAAGGCAGGTCAGCCTGAAGAAACTGGCAGCCAAGCAGACGCGGCCTGTGCAGCCCGTGGCCCCGAGACCAGAGGCGTTTACAAAATCCCCCTGCCCCTCTCCAGGTATGCTGCAGTCAGGCTTCATTCCTTCCTTCATTCATTCATTCCTTCATTCCAGCTCTGAGGAACCCCTTTGCTGAGTGATTCTGAGGCTTACAACTTCAGCAAATCTGAAGCAAAAATCTCTTGTAACTTTCCCCCTTTTCCAGTCCCACTCCTGGGCCCTAGTTCAGAAATCAGAAGACTATGGCTTGTGGGTCAAATCTGTCCCATTGATTGTTTTATAAATAAAATTTCATTAGAACATTTATGTGTTCTGTAGCTGGAACAAAGACTATAATCTACAAAACCAAAATGTTTACCAACGGCTGAAGAATCTTTCACTTTTCTCCCAATTCAAAACCTCCTCAAACCAGTCCATCCTCACTACTGGTGTCAATATATTTTTCTGCAAACTGAATTGAGATTTCCAAAGCCTTTCTGGGCTCTCTATATCCTAAAGAACCACATCCAAATACCATGGTTCAGCATCCAAGGACCACCCTGGGCTGGCAGCCCTGGATCTCATCTCCACCTGATTCCATTTCTAAGCTCATCCTTCTCCATGGTCCGTCTGCAGTCTCTTCTCACATGCTCTTTGCTGCCAACTCCCAGCTCTCTGTCTATAATAAACTAAGCATTTACTGGGGTTGGAATTGTCTATTGACCTTTTCTCCAGAACTTTGGCAAATGTCAGTCCTCACTGTAAGAACCCTCCAAAGCCAGGCACCTGGCATCCACCATAACCTTGGATCCAAGGAGACATTGTATTCTGGCCTGTTGTCCTAGAGTGGTGACACCTGGGTATCCTCATAATCAGCCTCTTTCCTGTGACATCCTCTGAGTCTTCTTCCCTTAAAATAGACACCCATGTCTCCTTTCCTCTCTGGAAACGGGACATGGCTGTATGATAATATGGGTATTGTTCCTTAAGATGGTACCCAAGTCTTCTCCAACAAAACAAGCCCAGCTCTATCCATACATGTTTCCATCTTCTCAAAGCCCCCAATTTCCATCCTTTTCTCTTTTTATTATTTTTCTGATCATTCTCCGGGCTTCATACTCTTCTGGAATTAGCAACAGCAGCAATAAACGTGGTCATCCAGAGCAAAACAGCGAGGCTCCTCCCATGTGATTTACAGCCTTGGAAACTTGCTGGAGTCAGCTATGAGTTGGTTCCAACTCAGTCAATGAGTTAAGGGGTTTGTTGTTTTTTTTTGCCTTTGTGGATAATAAAATGTAAATTTATGTACATATTTTTCCACATCTTTCCAAACCAGGCATCCGGAGAGGCTCTGAGAACACTTCCGGTTCTGAAGGCAATGTGCTCCGAAGAGGAAACTACAGGAGGGCCAAGGTGAGAGTGTGTTGTGTCCCTGCCTGCTGATGCTGGTCACTGTCCCTAGAGCCCTTTCCAGGGGTTGAACACAGTACCTTGGGCTTTCTGTCGCGCTCATGAGTATCAGCCCAGAGTGCCAGCCTCAGAGAACATCTGCCCTCTGTTCTGCCCTGAGCACCATCTTGCCCGAGTCTAGTCTTTAAAGAAAAACACAGGGCAGGACCCCCTATCTCCATGGTCCAGTCCATGGAGAGTTACATTGTGAACCCAAGGGCTGAGGCATTACAAATCCACCAGCAGCTGATCAGGAGCAAGATAGCGAGGCTCCTCCCATGTGATTTACAGCCTTGGAAACCCACTGGAGGGTCAGCTATGAGTTGGCTCCAAGTCAACATCAATGATTTAAAGAATTTTTTCCTGATACCTTAAACATCTGAAGAGTAGACTGGTCCTCCTTTTCCTAAACTTGACACATGGTATTTTCTTGTTTCCCCCAGAGTGAAATGAGTGAGAACCAGCCGGTCCGAAGTAGCTCCACAGGGGATGAAGAAGAAAGCCTGGCCATCTTACGAAGGTGGGTGTGATTGTTTCTTCAGTCTTCACTGAGCAGCGCTGAGTTCAAGATGCTACACAGAAGAACTGCCCAGCCACAGTCTTTGACTAAGGAGCTAAAGACAGTCTGGTTTATCAGCTTCTACTCCCATTCTGCAAAGCAGAAACAAAACTGACATTTTGGAAAACAAGTAGTAGGAAATACACACATACATACATCATGAAATGTGCAGAAATGAAATATACATATCCATTTGGCCTATCTGCATCCAAAAGCCCTCTTGTGGCCTAGTGGAGAAGGATATGCACTGCCAGCCCAAAGGCACATGGTTCAAATATACCATAGGAGGAAAATGGGTAGTCTCCTCCCATGAGATTTACAGCCTCTATAGACTCACTAGAGCATCAGCTATAAGTTGGTTTTAACTCAAGGACACACAACAACAACACATTCAAAATGGTGAGAAATGTAAAGTTTGTCTGGAAGTAACCTTTTCCCTAGTGCTTCTCAGGCTGTGGATTTCGAGTTTTGAACAGCTCACCTTCTCCCTCCACCCAAGCAGGAGAGGGAAACTACTGCCGCTCCTCACTGATCAGGACTTTCAGTCTCCTTCCTATTTAAAATTGATCCCAGCTAAAAGCGACCTTGTAAGAACCAGGGGTCTATGAGGCTGGGATCTTTACAGAAGCTGGCTACCACTTATGTCCCTGCTAGGGAGAGAGTGGCCCCTGGACTCAAGCCTCAAATCTGACTAGCAGTCAAACACTTAACTACTGTGCCACCAGGGATCCTTAAGGACTTCGCTAGGTACTGCCTGGTTTTAGAATTGTCTACGTTCAGTAAGCTCAGCCCAGGTATGACCTCATTCTTTATGTGTATTAGAATAGGCAGCTTTAGCATAGGTAGCTTGTAGGTGATTCTCACCCATAAAACAAAATCTGAAGAACTGATTTCTGAGCTTATTTCTCCTTTGAGTTTCACATTATGGGTACAAGACAGTATCACACACCTGCCGTGCACACCAGAGAGTAAGACCCTCCCCAAGATGGACTGACCCAGGGTCAACCATAATGAACTTGAGCTTGACAGAGAGTGTGAGGAGGGTGCAGGATACAGCAAAGTTCAGATCTGTTGTTCATAGGGTCACGAGGAGTAATAGTTGGCTCAATGGTCCCTAACACCACCACCGGGAGCACAAGAATGCTGCTGAGCACAGGAGCCGCAAAAACAATATCGGGGCTATGGCATTGACCATAGCCATAGGAAGGTGCACCGGTGGTAACCCGCAGGGGGCGCTGTGGAAGCTCAGAGCACCCTCCAAGCTGGAAGCAGGTGATCCTGGTGACAGACACAGAGAGAAGGCTTGTAAAGCAAGCAGGATTTGAATCCCAGGAGATGGAAGGATGTGAACATCTAACTTTAAAGAAAAAGAAGCTTTGCAGTACACCTGAATGTTTGGGGCAAATTTTGTACAGAGGAGCATGGTGGGATTAAAAAAAATGGTTCATTTTATAAAGTATACGCTTGAGAATGATTGCATAAAACACTATGAATGAACAGTAGTGTAGAACACAATCTATATGAACTTTATAAGCAAACCAACAAAAATTTTTAAAAATGTGAACTGGGGGGTAGTGAAGAAAATGTGCAACAATGAATGAATAAAAATCTAACTTTTTTGTAAATTTTCATTAAAGTCACAATTTTTAGAAAGGGGGGTGGAAATAGGAGGTGAGCTATAACATCTTCTCCTGAGAGGTTTTGAACCACAGACTTCTGCACTGTTCTGACTTGGTCCGGGAAGATGGGATTTAGGCATAATCTGTAGAGTAGACTCATAGCAGAGTGGTCATTTAAAGAACCTCACGCCTTGGACTTAGTTCCGTATTTGCCCCCAAGTACCTTGGGCCAGTCATTTACTTCTTGGGCCCTCTATATCCTTGCCCATAAGCGAGGGTTTGGACACCGTTATTTCTGTTGTCCCTTCCGGCTCTAACCCTGCTGTCCATCCGCACCACAGGCATGTGATGAATGAACTCCTGGAGACGGAGCGGGTGTACGTGGAGGAGCTCCTGTGCGTCCTTGAGGTGAGCAGACATTTGAGGGCGAGCGAGCTGTGCTGCAGCTGCCCATGCTAGCTCCATGGCCTGGGTTCACTCCCTCCCCTCCGGTATAAATTGAGATTTTTAAATTACTACTCAGAAATGAATGTGTTTGTCCACCAAAAACACATGAAAGAGTAATCATATCAGCTTTCTTCATAAGCAACTCAGATGACCAGCAGCAGCACTGGGATCAAATACTTTGAGACGTGTTTATGCCGTGGTCTCTACAGCATGAGAGAGAGCTTCCAAACATAATGAGCTGCCAGAGAAATCAGAACAAAGGACATAATGTTCAATTCTGTTCAGATGAGATTCAAGAACAAACAGACTAACCCAGGGTAGATAGGATTAGTAATTGGTCACCTCTGTGATGGTGTGTTGATTGGAAGGGACATAAATGCACTTTCTGGTTCTTGGAAATGCTCTATGTCTTGACTTAAGGATTAGCACACAGGTGTATATGTATATAAAACTCATGAAAGCATACACATGGGACTTGTGCCTTTTATATAAGTTCTACCACAAGAAACTTTTTTTTAAAAAGTTCAAGAGGGAGAAAGATGGAACTCCCCTCTCTCAGGATAAATTGATATAGGTTGAAATGCATTCAGTGTTTGTGGGTGTTTGTTTAGAAAGTTCTCTTAGAAGTAATCAATGAATAACTATGAATCGGATTTGCTTTTTGAAAGTGGAGCTAATGAGTCTAGCTCTGATAGGCAACCGTGTGTGTCAGAGCAGAACTGTGCTCCATAGAGTTTTCAGCAAGGTAGATCACCAGGCCTTTCTTGCTTGATAAGTCTGGATGGACTCCACCCACCCACCCACCCCCCGCCCCCTTTAAGTTAACAACTAAGCCTGTTGACCATTTGTTCCACCAAGACTCCAGCTCTTCCAACCCATCAGACCGAAACCCGTGGCTTCAGTTGCAGGGCTGGCTGATCGGGAACCTTGAAAATAGCTTGTATGTGTCTGTCTGCTGCAGCTCAGAACTTCCTCCTTGACTCCTGTTCTGCCTTTCACAGGGCTACGCCGCTGAGATGGATAATCCCTTAATGACGCATCTCATTTCAACAAGCCTCCAAAAAAAGAAAGATATCTTGTTTGGAAACATGGAGGAAATCTACCACTTTCATAACAGGTTAGGGGCCCTCCCTCTTCACACACGCTTGGTCAGTGGTCTTGCTCACATGACAAAAAGATTGCCTTCAAGGTGCTGAACAGAGGTGAACCCCTTGACTCATGGTTAGCTGCTAAATCTACCTTGTCATCTTCCCTTAGTGTCAGCTCACAGGAAAGCTGTAGACACAGTAATGGAGTCGAGGTGTGACTTCTCCACACTGCCCTCCCCAAGTGTCCGAGCGGCACTCCAGCCTTGCTGACTAATGCCCAGAGCTGCTGCCTGAATTATAAATGAGCCACACGGCCAGCCTGTCTCCACACCAGGGAGGGGCCGGCGCTGTGCCATCTTTAAGTGCACCTCTGCCTTGTCAGGGCAATGAGCTGGAAGCAGCCCCACTCCACTGGTTACTTCCTCCTGTCTTGCTGGGTTAGCAGAAATCAATTGCCTCAAACTATATGCATTTGGCACTTTGGGGAGGCATCAAGTGCCAGACCACTTGGCATGCTTTCACTCACAAGTCTGGGCTTGTGAAAGATGGCAACGTGAGACGTCCCTTTCTCGCCCATGTGCCCCTCTTGAGGGCAAGAAGGGGGACGGACTGTCCACTGATGGCAAGGATGTTTGTGGGTTGTTTTTTTTACCTGTTTGTGTCTTTTAGAAAACAATCGATCATCCTCCTTGATTTGTATTTCCTTTGCTCTTCTTAGCAATTCTGCTGCTTTCTGTAATACAGTCTGTGGGAACTTGTGGTAAAGAAAATGGTTAGAAATCCCAAGCTCAAGGGGAAACAGATCAGTGCAGCACAGATTACCCTGTGTCCTGAGAAGGCCAAGTATGACTGAGCCCATGGCGCACACCAGCACTGCTGCCCCGGGGGACATGGTGGGCCCCACCTTGGGACCACGGGGCCCAGCAGATCGTGGGAATCTGAGCACCCGCCCTTCTCTGGACTTGGAGAAATGGTCAAGGGCACTTGAGGCTTCTCTTTCATTGCATGTTTTTCAGTCCTCTGTCATTAGCATCTCTCACCCCACCCATCTATGAAGGAAATATCACATCATCAGTTGATGATCCAGCCCCAGGAATCCTTTTCGTCCCACAAATCGTGTGGAGATTTGGGAATGAAAATAAGCAGGTAGCCTATTCCTGCCACATCCTCCTAGAGCCCAGCAAGGTTTCTTGACCAAGTCCCAGTGTGCAGATCCCCCCCTAGTGGTCTTAAAAAGTACTGTTGTTGCTGGGAGTCCCCAGTGGATTCTCTCAAAGTGACTTCATGGGATAGAACTACCCCATGGCTTAGGTAAGAGGCTGCTCTGCCAATCCAAAGGCAAGCTGTTTGAATCCACCCACTGCTCCACAGGAGAAAAATGAACCATTTTCTCTCATACAGTTGACAGCTTCTGAAAACCCCCTAAAGAGCCAGCTGTGGGTCAGTTCTGTCTCAACAACAATCTGGATTTCCAAACCTCTTTCCTGTGAAGCCACTGATGGATTCAAACCACCAAACTTTTGGTTAACATATGCTTTAACTCCTGGTCATTACACAATGACCCTGGAGCAGGGGTTGTCATTATAAAATAACTCCTTCCCATTTAAAACTGTGAAAGAATTCCATGTGCTTCTAGTTGTTTGTTGTTGAGCCAAAATGAGTCTTTTAAGGTATTCTTCCTCCTCTGGAGATGGAGGGCATTAACCATGCTGTGCTCACCACACAGATGAGCAGATGGAAATAGATTTTCATGGTGCATATTAAAAATCAAAGCAAACATAAACCCAACATAACAAAACACACTAAACTTCCAGTTTAGCACTTAGCATTGTACCACCAGAGCACCTGGAAATGCAGAAGTAGAATCCATACTGATATCAAGGTATGGTTCCTTGACACTCTTTCCAGGGCATTGACCCCTCGGTAAATGGATGCAGGTCAGAAATTTCAGGGAGCAAATTGAGCATGCACACTTAGAATGCAGTAGGGTGATCAGTGAGTCAGAGCTAAGCATTCTCAGCTATTTCTGGATAAAACCTCCAGTACCAGCTGTTGGGCCTCTGTAACAGGACAAGGAGACTGGACTCCCAGAACCCCTTAACGTGTCTATTTCTAACAGTCTTTACTTAAGATTTTATTTCTCTTAATGGCTTCTTTATATACATCCTTATCCTGTGTGTTTGTGCTGATATAAAAAGCACCATCTCCCGCTTTGATGTGGACATGCCAGAAACAGGGCAGAAATCCACACTGGACTGGCGTTGTTTCCTGAGAGTTTGGCTGGGATTGGGATTACAGAGCATGGCAGATACAGACTGTGGGTGTCTGAAATCAGATGCTATATTGTTTCCACACAAAATCGCTCGACTTGGCCAGAATAAAGAATATAACTCTCCCAAGAAATTACTTCTGATTGTAATTATCGATGTCATGTCATTCAAGTGGGTTTTCTTACAACTAATAAAAGCATTCTCCATCCAGAATATTCCTGAGAGAACTGGAAAATTATATTGACTGCCCAGAACTGGTTGGAAGGTGTTTTCTAGAAAGGGTATGTATGTTATTTGCCAAATACATATTTTCTCATGCCATGTGTCCTAAAGTTATTAAGTAATACTGACTTTGAATTCTATTACAGTACCCATTCTGACCAACTGAGATTACAA